GACTAATGATTCTAATTGATGCCAAAACCAAGCTGCCAGAAAACCTAAATTCTGTTCTGGATTTGGCTAAACACGAATTAAATGAGGGGAAAGAAACATAACCCAGATGATAATCTGCTCTAAAACCAGCTTAAACCTTGCAGATATCGGCAGAGACAAACGGACCCAATAAAAATAGATCAACATATATGCCGCTATGTCTGGATTCTTACCACGGCATTGAAATTATATCTGCTAAAAGACCCCCAGTTATCCAAGTCATACGCAGTTAAATGTTTGCAACAAGCAGATAGCATAAGTCTATCGCCATTCAAGCCACCTGCAAAATGACTACTAGCATTCAAGTCACCACCTTGAAACCCCCTCACAAACTCAGTCGCATAAGCAGAAACAACCATGGGATCTTCACCGGGGGTTTCTTGGCCTCTTCCCCATCTGGGATCCCTAAAGATATTGATATTCGGCGCCCAGAAGGTCAACCCAGCTTGACCAACATTGTACATGCCTCTCGCCTCCACTGCTATCGCAGACCCAATCTTTAACCAGAGACTCCTGTTGAAAGAAGCAGCACTGACAATAACTTGTGGGAAGCTCGTAGCCGAAGAGACAGTTCCATTGAAGGAGACCCCGGGGCCATTAGTAGCGATCCCATGAAGCGACTCGGACCACCACTGATAAGCAGGAATACCGAGTCTCGGGATCGCTGAGGCATTGTTGGAGAGTTGCTGGATCTTTTCTTGCAGGGTTAGGAGAGAGACGAGGGACTGAGCTCGTACTGTAAGCGACAGGGATGTATCGCAAAATGGGTAGTGGCTGAAACCAGGGGGCCTACACGGGAAATCCGGGAAGGGAACCGATGTGATTGACTGGGAGATTGACAGAGAGAAAAGAAATGATTGGAGGAGGAAGAAGAAGATGGGTAGCCTAGTATGCGAAGAAGACATGGCCACCTTCCGCAATAACTGTTAGAAGGTGTCGGCTTCTGGTATTGGTCTCTGGCTCTATGGTATACAGAGATACAACAAAAAAAAAAAAATAGTATATATGGAATTAGAATAACAAATTCTAAGATATTATCAAAATGTATTATTTCAATTCTATATAAAATTAATTTTTATATTATAAATCAAATAAATTTAGATTAATTTACAGCCTAAATTTAATTTAAATAACATTATTATGCTTTAATTAAATAAATCTGGGACTTAATTAACCAAGATTAGTTCAGTCTGTAATCAAGTGTGTTCGACTCTTATTTTTACAGCTCAAAAATTTATAAATAAAAAAAATAAATTTTTGGGACCCACCAAATCATATTGCTTGGATGGTTATGGGCTTCCGATTTAAAAAGCCCAAAAGAGTATCGGCCCATTAGCATTGACAAATAAAGTTGATTATTTATATAAAATTAATTTATTTAAAAATATTATTGATATATATATAATACAATTTAATTTATAAATTATAATTATAATTTTGTTTTTATTTTATTTTAGAATATATTGATGATGTTTTTTTTTTTTTTTTTATCAGAGGAGGACACCGGAAATGACAGTCTTAATTATTTGATGTTGTGAAGATTTCGACCGGCAAGATTTTCAAGAACTGAGACAGAAATTATTTCAGTAGTGACCGAACAAAAAGCACCCTCGCAAGATACATGTGGACTAATAATTTGAAAAAAAATAAAACATAAACATACCCACATACAATATATATGTATATATGTGTGTGTGTGTGCATGGAATGAGAAAGGTTGACTAAAATTTTGGTAATGATGGTTTTGGCTGGACAAACCCAGGTATATATATATATATATATATATATATATATTTACAGATATATATTGATGACTTCGACGGTACATTGATATAAGCAGAAAAGACATGCAAGTTTTGGAGCAAGAATCATCAGAGTTAATAAAAAATAATAATAATAAAGAAACAGCCATCATCATTATATGTTATATATAATACACGTACAGAAATTATGGGCTTCTTCGTTATCATGCTGTAACCCTACGAAAATCTCCACCACAAGATGGTGGTGATTACATCCAGAAAAAACTTGACAGATGCTTCTATAGTACGTATATGTGTGTGTGTGTGTGTATATATATATAAGCAATCATGCCGAGAAGATGATAAAGAATGAAAACATGAAAGAAGAAAAAGTGATGGATAAGAATTTTTTTTTTTTTTTATTCTCTAAAATGTTTTAAGATATAAAGTTGGTGGGAGTGAAAAACAGAAGAATAAAAATAAATTCAGAGAAGAGGAGAAAAAATAAATATTACTTTGATTTTCTGATCTTATACGATAATTATAATTCATATATATATATATATATAATTCATCACTATTTATGTATTTTTTTTATG